TCCTGGCCCCGCCTCCCAGTGTGTCTCGGGCCCGCCCCCAGCCCTGAGTTTGGCTCCGGGCCCCGCCCCGGCATGGCGCCCGGAACCGGCTGCCGCAGGGACCCGCTCTCCGGCCCGGCCGCGTGGGGGCGGAGCCCGGCCTGCAGCTGCGAGGACCGCAGCGGCGGGAGGTGGAGTCTCCGTCCGGAAGCCGGCGATTCGCGGCCATGGCAGTGCCGGCCCGCGGCTTTTCCCTGCTCCGCCGTCGCCTGGGCCGCGTGTTGATGCTCGGCCGGAGCGTGGTGCTGCCCCTGGGGGCGCCGGGAGCAGCCGGCTGCGCTTCCCGGGGTTTTCGGAGCAGCGGCGTGAGGTACGAGCGCCCCGGACGCTCGCTGTCTTCGGGTGTGGGTGCCCGCGCGTGCGGAGCCGCGGGCTGCGGGCGGGGCGGCGAGGCGCGGGCTGCTGGCGCCGGCCGAGCTCTCCCGCGTCAGGCCAGAGGCTCGGGCGGCCGCGCGCCTCCGCAGGGCTGGGGGGCGAGGCCTGCCTAGGCTCCGAACTTGACCTTGCGGGCCTCGCGGACTGGTCGCGTCGACCTCAAGTCGGGCAACTCGGACGAGGTCGGCTTTGGGCTCTGGCGCCAAGAATATTCTTACTTTGCAGCAGGTACAGTGGAGTGATTTAGGAAGACATTGGAGGCCCTCAGGAAAGGTGCCCTAAAAACAGGTGGTCTGCTCGTTTCCAGCGGTTGCTTTGGTTTGCTTATTGTTGTGTTTTGTAAACAAAGGAGTGAGCATTGTTCAGATGGTTTGCTCTTGTTTGGGATTCAGAATTCCTTTGTTGATGGGAACTCCGAGGTCTCCTTCAGCCCTAAAATTCGTAGCGATTTCACAAAATCAAACATAATCTTGATTTCTCAGTCTTTTTCTGTGTGGTGCTTCCTGAACTTCTTCAATCTTAACATTGAAGTAGTCCGTCTTAGAATCATTGCATCTCTTTGGACCCTTTGCCGGCTAGTACACTGCGCGTACGAAACGTGTTGTGGTTTTAACTCTTCTACACAGTGGTGCCCCGGCCCCTTCGCGTTGCCGTCATCTACTTGTTGGAGTTGCAGACTTAGACTTAAGAATCTAAAAATATATTCCCTTGACCCAGAGCCAGCGAGTCGACAAGAGATTCAGTTTTCAGACTTTCAGGGCTTCCAGTATTGCACGTTCGCGGCAGTTCTATGAGCTCAGAGGTTGTATCTTACTTACCTTTTTGCATCCCCAGTGAGCAGCACAATACCTGGAAGAAAGTAATAATAACGTGGAAACATAGCTAGTACTTGTTTCATTTTAATTGATTAACTCATCATTTTATACATATATTTGTCTCAGGCTTGAGTGACTAAAATAGTAAGGAATATTTCATATTGGGTTTACTTTAGACGTGTTTCCAGTGATTAGCTCTTCCACAAAGATAGGAGAAAGTAACCGATTCTGAGTTCTGGTTATGAAAGCTGTATGGTCTCTGCAAGGATTTGCCAGTTGTTTCGGAATTACCAGCTGTACTCCCTAGGGAGAGCAGATTCTGCAGAATGCTGTTTGAATTGCAGAATTGAAGGTATTATGTACTCTAGTCACTCTAGGTAATTATGTTTTGAGTTTCATTTGCTCTAGAGCTGCTTTGCGGAGTGAGGATAATCTTTTCCAAATTACATAAGTTGTTGAATTTCCCTTTGTCAACTTGGTGTAAGGGACCCATCACCCCAATCCTCTCCATGGGCGTTGATTGAGAGTCACAACGGTTATAACCCAAACATCTGCTTGTAGCCACTTGCTTCGTACAAATGTGTGCAAGCAAAGGGATAATTCAGATCTTTTAGATTATATTTAATTGTCTCTTTATAATTTAAAATAGTTGAGTGCAATAGTTTTGGAAAGCTAGTCTTAATAAAAAGGAGTATGACTTTCAACCCAGCTGCTTTAGGCCCCATTTGATACAGATAACAGCTATAAATAGTACTTTGAGTAGTCTTTATTTTTCTTAAGGCAGCTCTAATCAAGTTAGGATAAGGTGGTGTTTTTGACTTCCTCTTGGCACTGAATACCATCTGTGAAGGTGAAGTTGGCCGTCAGGTTGAGAAACACCTGTGGACTGCTGGGTCTCGGGTGGGGAGGAATTCGGACAGTGTGTTGATGCTTATTGGTGTCTCTTTTCTCTTCTAGGACCAGCAGAGAGAAGAGATTCCATCTTCCAGAGGTCGCCACTGTCTGCCTCCCCACTTGTCCCCATCCTCAGTCATCTTTTTTAAAATATATAGCTACTTATTGGTTGTCTAGTTCTTCGTAGTGAATGTGCTTTATATCTGATATCATTTCTATTGACTTGAAATTTGAGCCTTAGTGTTATTTTTACTGAAAATTATCTTGGAGTTTGATAAACTCCTTACCCAGTATTGACTCTTCTAAATTAACAGACTTATTAGTTTCTGAGCTCTATGGAGCCTTAAATGAAAATGAAAAAACATTTTTGATTCTTTTTCATATTTTTGACTAGATACCTATGATAGTGGAACATATAATGCTTTTTTAATTAAGTTTTTTTTTCATTGGAATTTCAAGAAGTAATCTTTGACAGAATTTGAAAATTATAAAATCTTGAAGTATCATTTGAGTTTTCTCTTATTTTTAAAATTTACAGTGAGTTTTTTTTTCTTAGTAACTCATGAGAAATTAGATATTATTAATTGGAAGAAAATATATTTACTGTCAAAGAAATAAATAAGCCCTTCTATTTGTTGCCCACTATTGTTCCTTGAAATGAATTACCTAAACAGCCAAAAAATTAAAAATAAAAAATTTTTAGTGATTAAGTTTGTACTATTTTGCCTTGCTGTGTGAGTGTACAACTCAACATATCATCGGATTATAAATACCACATGAGTCTTTGGCCCAGTGCTTTCCGTGTATGGGGCTAGGCAGAAGCGGTTCCCATTTGGAGGGGAAGGTACAGACCTTATACGTTAATGCCACGGTCAAAGCAGATTTGCAGATGTCCTGAAACAGGGACTTCCCAAATGCTGCTTTAGATCATCCCCCCTGAACTCATTTTCGTAATTAAATGGGTACCCTAAGCGTTTATCCTATTGCAAAGTGATTTCCTAAAATCGTAAAATCATAAATTTGGCACTCCCTCCTGCTAAAATGCTATTTTAGCATTTGTAAAATTGTGTGTACCAGCCTACAGCTCTTGACAGAAACCTCACCTTTCTTTATGTCTCGTTGCCAATGGCTTTATAAATTTTGCAGCCAGGCCAGCATTTTGAAGCTAGTAAAAGATACTGGTTTATGTTAGTTGAATATTCATGGCTCATAGAGGGGGGAGTTGAATTTAATAACTGAAAAACAGACTCAAGTTTATCAGTAAGGCTGTTCATTTTTATTCAGATTCTCCCCTCTAGTACTTATTCAGTGTTTTCCATCTCTGCAATAGAATTATTTGACTTAAAGGTCCTCTTACCCTCGTGGGAAGCTTGAAGGACCCAGACTCCAGTTAGGACCTTTACTAAAGCTGACTTTCCACAGACTGATTTCAACTAGGATAAGAGTTCCAGTGAGTAGCGAAAGCAGTTTCTCAAAATCCTATTTTGTTGGAAAATGTGATTGTGCGGTTTTCCTGTCTTAATGCCTTACCTATTTAATGAGATAGCTGTTGCTACGGTATTGATTTCTAAGCAGTTCTCAGTGTCACTTTAAATTTAGAATCTAAATATTTCACCATTTACTATCTTATATCTGAGTTCTATGTCTGTATCCCAGCTGTTCAGAGATAATGTGTTCTAATATAATATCTCCAAAATCAAGTTTTCTGATTAAAATGGATCAATAGATGAAAAAAGACTACTATTAATCTCAGATCTTGTTACTTAGTCATGGTTTTAGGGATAATTTAGCAGTTTCTTTAATGATCTGAATCTTTCTTTTTCGAATGTTATCTTTTTCATGTTAATACCTTGGTGGGATGATAAAAACAGTAGGAAAAAGACAAAAACACTTAATTTTCCATGGTCACAGACTCTTAATGGAATTCCGTAGAGCCGAAGACAGTTTTTAAAGATAGTTTGGCTTGGAGAGGGAGGTATAGGGAGGGAGGCACTTGGGAGAAATTTGAAATGTCAAATGAGTGGGATAAATTAATGATTAGAATAAATGAGATTAACTATTAAGAAGTGCAATTTGGACCAGAGAAAAATACACCTAAAAGGTAGGAAACTTTGTGGTCAGAATGGAACATAATCTAACCCTAAATTAGTGTCTGAGAACTCAGGGTTGGGTATTATCCAGCTACTCCACTTAACATTACATCAGTGCATTCCTGTGTTGCTACTGTTTTTACTAACATTTTATTGGCTACATTCTATTACATTAAGTCCGTTCCTCATAACTTACATAACCATCTTGCTATCGTTTAATGTCTAGTTCTTGGAACATAGGAAATCATTTATTCTCAGATTCAGGTCATGGTCTTGTTAACATCATACCAATGAGGTTTGTTCACTTAATGATCCGAAAATGATCTATGTAGGTTTCTGTAATTATGTTACAGAGTGTGCCTAGAACCAAAAGACTATCCAAAGATTCATAATTCTAAAGTTAGGGTATATATAGTTTAAATTAGATGTCTCCCCCCCACTTTGGTTATGAAAACCTGCGATGAATATCATCTTGCCTTTAAGTAATCCAGTGTGTTGTTGAAAAATAAATTCTTATTAGTGTTTAGTGAGCCTTTACTCTGTGCTGAGATATTTTGCATAAGTATATCCTTTTATCCTCACAACAGCTGAAGTAGACTATTAGTATTACTAATTAGTAGATTGTGTGATTGAAGCTTAGAGAAATTAAATAACTTGCCCATGTTAACAGTAAATAAATGGTGAAGATGGGGTTTAAACCTGAATGGTCTACCCAGTGCTTTGCTCTATAAGTAATTTGGCATTGTTGACATATCACTATTGTTCCTCTTTTTGAAAACATTTATCAAATGTTGTAGAACTTTTGTGAATCAGGAAAGCTAATTTTGCATATAAATCTTAAAAATATTTTGTCAGAAAAAAATCATCTTGTCAGATTCCTCTAATGAAGGGTATTTCTTAACCTGAGACTTTCTGGATAGATTTTAGGGGATCCATAAACTTAGATAGGACATCACTAACCTCTAACAAATTTAGCGTTTTCTTCGGTTGTGAATGTTGGCAACAAACCATGATAATATTAGCAGTATTTCAGATATTGCCAATAAAAGTCGGAGATACTTTAATATTACAGAGTTGATGCAAAGATCTCAAAATATCATACACACCACTGCTTTGTTATTATGGTAGTTAATTAG